ATATATGTATTCAGCTAGTGTAAACATGCACGATGCTATCACAGCAAATGCGAGGCTAAGAGTGAAGTGTTACCCTTTGTTTCCGCTGAGAGACGTGCCGCGTGACTCATTTCCCCGCGCATACAAGTCTTAGGTCGGCGTTCACGGTTTGACTTCTGAGATTCAGATCGAGTTTTAGGTAATTTTTTTTTTAAACTGGTTAGTTCGACTTTTAAGAAATTCGAGTTCTAATGAGTTCGAGAACAAACGTACCACTGTACTTACTTTCTGCCCGGTATTTCACTGATTGATTATTTGATTTAAAATTATGCAGTAAGAAAACGACGCTTATGCAGTTTGCCAGTTACCGTTTACCTAGCATTACGTGAGCAGTATTTAGCAGGTAACATTAATTAAACTTACTGCTGTAGTATTCCAATTGCTATAAATAGAGATGCAGCTGTTACATAGGTAACATGTTTTAATAGTACTATTGTAGTACTTGTTGTTGTGACATTGTTGTAATATCTGTAACCTGGCTAAATACTGATGTAAATATTATTTCTGATTCTATAGACCACACACACATACAACACACATATGCATCTCACATCCTGCACAACCAGCTGTGATCCACACAATAATTCAGCTGCTTTCAGAGCTAAGTAAAGTAAATATAAAAGAAGACCTCCAGTCCCTGATTTTCTAACCGGAATCAGCTGTTCATGTTGGCCGCTTCAGCCAGTTTTCATGTGAAGTGTAGAAGTGCTAAGCTACAGGGGTGTAGGCCCAAGTCCATGTTGGACTTTCTGCAACCTGACATGGAAAAGTTGAGAAAAAGCAGGAAATGCAGAAGGAGAGACATGACCGGCATGCACGAGAGAGACGGTTTCAATCAGATGATCATTTCTATGTGAAAAACTTCAGCAGTAATAACTACCAGCAATGGCTGCCTGAGATATACTTAGGCCGAGTGGTCCAGCCACCTGTGTCGTAAAGCTGACTGATGGTCTTGTGGTTCGCTGACATCATGACCATATGCGTCTGTGTCAAGATACAGGCCCAGTGGGACAGAGCCCCACAGAATTGCTAGTGGTGAGCCACAGGAGGAGTATGTCCACCAGTGATGGGGCCAGAGAGGGAATTGCCCGCAGGGGCGTCTGTGTCCCCGCTAGAGGGTGGACCTACTCACATGGACACACAGACCCCTCCTTTGCCCTCAAAACCAGCTCCTGCCAAAACACCCTCATCAGGAGTGTCTGCAGTGTCACTGGAGTTTGTGCGTAGATTGCAGCGCACTTGCAAACCTCCAGAGAGACTTAATATTTGAGTGGATAATTCTGTGGCTGTTATGCTGCACAAGGACTCTGAAAAAGGGGACAGGGCCCACAGCACTGCTTAAGCTGACCTCAGAAGAGGCATCAAAGATGGCAAACGAGCCTACAGGAGGAAAATTTAATAGCATTTCACGGATATCAACACAAGGCAGGTGTGGCAGGGACTTCAGCAAATTACAAACTGCAAGGACAGCATCACCACTAACTCCAACAGCTCCGCTTCACTGGCAGAGGAGCTCAACTACTTCTTTGCTTGGTTTGAAGTGAAAACACCACTCCTACAGACATGTCCCCCTGCTACAGGCATCCAGGTGCTGGCTGTACAAGAACATGAAGTGAAACAGCTATTCAGAGTGGTGAACCCGCTGAAGGCTGCTGGCCCGAGCTGAAAACCCGGTAATGTACTCTGGGCCTGTGCCTACGAACTTGCTGGTGTCTTCACAAACATCTTTAACCTGTCCCTTGCACAAGCCATTGTCCCACCCTGCCTCAAATCAAGCATCATCATCCCAATCTCAAAAAGCCTGCTGTAGGCAGTCTAAATGATTACAGACCCATCGCTCCCACTCTTATTGTCAGCAAATGCCTTGAGAGACTATTAATGAGGCATGTCATAGCCAGCTTCCCTTCCAACTTTGATCCCCATCAATTTGCCTACAGGGAGAACAGATCCACAGATGACGCCATCACCATCACTCTTGACACGGCACTACAGCATCTGGAACACAGGGCGACCTATGTTCTGATGCTCTTCATTGGTTATAGCCCTGCTTTCAATACGACCATTCCGGACATCCTCATCAGGAAACTGCTCCACCTGGGCCTCTCCTCTCACCTTGGCACCTGGATCATGGACTTTGTTACAAACTGCCCCCAGGCTGTCAGGCTGGACCCCCACCTCTCCTCCACCCTCATTCTCAGCACTGACTCTCCACAGGCCTGTGTGTTGAGTCCACTTTCTGGCTTCCTCTCGTTTGTAAATTTCTTATGATGTTATGTTCTGTGTGTTATGCAGGCTGCTGGTGGCCTCCAACCACTCTGCCACAGAGAGCATCCTAACATACTGCCTTACAGTGTGGTATGCGGGCTGCTGGTGGCCTCCTCCCGCTCTGCCATAGAGAGCATCCTAACATACTGCCTTACAGTGTGGTATGCGGGCTGCTGGTGGCCTCCTCCCGCTCTGCCATAGAGAGCATCCTAACATACTGCCTTACAGTGTGGTATGCGGGCTGCTGGTGGCCTCCTCCCGCTCTGCCATAGAGAGCATCCTAACATACTGCCTTACAGTGTGGTATGCGGGCTGCTGGTGGCCTCCTCCCGCTCTGCCATAGAGAGCATCCTAACATACTGCCTTACAGTGTGGTATGCAGGCTTCTCGTCAGCCGATCCAAAGGCTCTCCATAGGGTCATAAAGTCAGCACAGAACATCATCGGCTGCCATCTCCACCACTTTGTCCTTTGTGCTGTTCACTCTGACCTTGTTCTGCAGACTCTGATCTCCATCACCTCCAGTCCATCACCATTACTTTATGTCTCGCTGCCACACTTTCCCCATTCGTGATTCTTTATTTCTGTCATTCGATTTCTTCTCCACATTATAAAGTCTATTTGGTTTTCTCTTCCTCCACTACTGTAAGTCACAAGCTGGCTTACTGTCTTCTTAAAGGGGTGTTAACTATTGCTAAATGAAATGCCAGTCCGAAATCTACTATCTTCTCCCCTTCTCAGGATAAATTGTCTATAAAATAAATGTGAATTCCTCTGACGTCACATTAGCTACGCCCTACATGGAAACCCCGACTGGGAATCCCACCCAGGCCGGAAAACCTGGTTCAGTCCTCGCAATTAGTTCAGTGGTTTATTATAATTATAATTATTATTATTATTGGCCACGCCCCTTCCCAGCTGTTCCCAAAAAGTTAATTACTTCTCCCACTATTTTAGTCTCCGGAGCACTTTTACCAGCGTGACATCTTCTCGGTCTCAGAGTACTTGCGGTTCTGTTACCTTTTCCCTTATTCCGCCTTCCGTTTTCCCCTGACTCTGTTCTGTCCCTACACCCTGAGTTTTGCCATATCCTCTGATCACCTGGTTCCCCCTCGTCTGACTATCGCCTGTTCTACCGACCTCCATTAACCCGACGATATAAATACTGTCTTTGACCTGGATTGTCTGACTTGTTTTTGATCATCACATTAAATCTCCTGGGGCGAGTTTCTCGAATCCTAACTAATATCATGTCTTTCTTAAGTTCTATCTTTTAACATCGAACTTACAAACGATGCAGTGATATGAAGGCTTCGAGAAACTCACCCCTGATCACTGTGACTGATCCAGATCTATGTCCTTTTCCCACACCTCATCCTCACAATAAGCTAAGAAAACCTGCAGGATTTCAGCTCTGTATTACAGTTGGCTACCCTTTAGACAGCAGATGGCAGTGGTCACATACTGATGAATGATTGGCTAGGAAAGTGAGTTTAATGTGCCTTGAGAGCAAATAAACTGATTTGCCATTTACTCACACACAGCTATTACAGCTGCCACTGAAGTTTGGAACTCTGCAGTGTGGAAAGATAGTTGGACATCGGTCAGCCCGGGGAGGGAGGCATATTGGGTATGTTATGTCTTAGGCCTTACAGGAAGGGATTTGAAGATACCCCAACAGTTGTAGTCATAGAGTAGTCGTAATATGTCATATGCAATATGTTGCATGGTAGTTCAAACACATAAGTAGTTATCACATTAATCATACATTAACAATGTATTCACAATAAATGAATATTTCCATCCATATCTAAAGTAGAAGTCTAGCAGTCGAGACATGTTTTGGGAAATTGAGCAAAATGGACCCTGCTACCAATGTGGACCAATATAGGTGGAGAATTACTGTATGTTTGGTGTTTGTTGGTGTTGTGTGAACAATTAGGACTTAGAAGTCCTTATAGGGAATTGGGTGTTATGGTTTATCAGCTGGTTGCTCTTTGTGCTCGGGGTACCTGGTGCCAGAGTGAGATTGGAGTGCAGTGATGGATTGCCTGAATAAAGGAGAAAACTTTGCTCACCAAAGTTGGAGGTCTGGAGTGTTTATTCTAAGTGGCTTAACTAGAGCTATTAGTGAGGTTGATTTCAATTTTTCTTCCACAGCAGTTACTGACTCAACAGAGCGTTGGCAACTTTTATGCTCTATGTGCCTCAGCACTCAGAGACCCCACTGTGTTACTTTATGTGATCTGCCACTTTGTGGCTGAGTTTCTGTTGTTCTTAAACACTTCTAATTTGTAATAATACCACTTGCAGGAATATCTAGCATGGAAGAAATTACAGAAACTGACTTCTTGCAAAGCTGGCATCCTATGACAGTGCCACAGTTGAATTCTCTGAGCTCTTCAGAACAACCTGTTGTTTCACAAATGTTTTAAACCTGATTGCATGGCTATGTACTTGATTTAATACACCTGTGGCAATGGGTCCGAATGAAACACCTGATTTTAAATGGTTGAGAAGTGTGTCCCAATACTTTTGTCCAAAAAATGTATCATGTATGTGTAGATCAGAATGCCTTTTTACTATTATTTAAATTCCTGTCTGAACAGCCAGTCAGATCAGCCTGATGTGTATCTTGTACCTCTCTGTTTCCTGCCTTTTCATCCCGACCACAACATGACCTCTCACTTTGCAGCAGAGCAGTTTATTCTAAACAAGTGGAACTACAAAGATGTTCAGACTATTTGGTCTTCTCATTTTCATTAGTAAGGTTATAAAATGTAAAATTATAAATTTTTATAAGTATTTGGGAATTTAATCTTCATCATAGTTAATAGTTATTTTGCTTACTATTATGATATATGTCACATTTATTTGTTGTTTTTCTGTTTTTCCAGACACTGCACTGGCTGAGGATGTTGATCAGCCCAGTCTCCTGATGAGGGTTCAGCTTGGAGACAGTGTGACCCTGACATGCTTCTGTCCAGAAGAAAGAACTTCTGTTGCTTGGTTTAAGCAAACTGTTGGTCAGAAGCCCCAGCTCATGGCGAAAGCACTTCGCTACGTACCTGGTGAATTTTACAAGGAATATAAAAACATAAAACGTTACTCCTTACAAAATGCAGAGGGGAATTTTAACCTCACTATTTCCAACGCGGAGCCGTCAGATTCTGCAGTGTATTATTGTGCTGCTGAGTCCTATAATGAAATTAATTTTGGGAATGGAACCTTTGTCATAATCACAGGTAAATGTGACTCCAACTATTTTCATATTTACTTTTTTATAGTGTCACTAAGATTGTTCCCTGTAAAACGTTGTTGACAGTTGAGCTGTTTCCCAATATAAAATGGTTCATGTAGATTGTGTGCTTTGCTCCAAAAATAAATCAAAAATGTTCTTTTAAAGAAATAACATAAAAACAATAGCAAAGATAATGTTTTTATTGTTATTATTAATATAAATTGCTGAAATATCCAAAAAAAATTACAAGAATATGAATTAATAGTAATAGGAGGCATTAAATATCTTACTTATGTGAAGTAGATTTTTGTTATGAGTTATATAATAGCTATATAATAATTATGAAACATAAATATATGATATACATGCATATACAAAATCTAAAGGAGACTGCACCATAAAATGACATTTATTTATGAAAACACTAACTGTACTGATGAAACAGCGGGATCCTGGGGTTATGTCAGTGTCTGGCTCAGTGTGGTAACGGCCCTGGGAGAGAAGCTGTTCCTGCCATAAATAGTCCTGTAGCGCCTTCCTGATGGCAGCAGCGTATAGAGATGGTGGCGGGACTGTGATGGACCCCTCCTGATGTTACATTTATACATTTATACATGAACATGCACTGCATCACATTATTACACAGTTTGTTACATTTTGCTTGCTGTCAGTAATCTTCAGCCAAAAGCGTAACCTTTTCTTTATACAGATGTTAATGTTACAACTTAATATTTCAGTTGCTATATATAGGACTTTGCAAAAATCTTAAGCAACAAAAGAAAATTATTTTTAGTGTTATTTATCTGAGCAGTCAGTCTATATTCGCTCAGGAAAAAAAAACACGATTTAACATAAGAATCAGGGATAGGCACCATTCGGAACAGATTTGAGAATGGCCTTTAAATTTCAGTTCATTTTGTTAATCTGAATTAAATTTGAAATCCTTTTGCAATGTATATTTTTTATTTAACGTTAAAAAATAGACAAACTTAATCAGCAAACAGTAACAAGTAAAGATAATACATTTGGCTCTTGGGTCAAATCATCTAGGTACGACAGCAGAATCCTCAAAAATACTAATACACATCAATAGCTAAATATGCAAAAACAATAAATACCTTTCTGTGGAAAAGGGGCAACATAAACCAAATGTAAATTGACAGAGTCACGAAAATCATGAAAATATAAAGTACACTTTACACACTTCATTTCTTTGAATTAAAATAAATTAAATTAATCTACCTTCATATAATGTTTGTTATTAATGTATATTAAAGCTGTTAAGGTATGTTAGGATATTAAGGTATACTTTCATTCCGCTTATGAATTTATGAATGCTACATGAATGCATTTTAAATGTATTATGTAGCTACAGTTAATGTAAAGTGTCACCGAATATATACTAATAAACAGTAATACAATTTTTTTTAAAAAGGGACAAGAGTTTCTTCTGTTCTCCAAGTTACTGATTTGTTGGATGGCTAGAACACTTTGGTTTCCAACTCCCTACAGAATCAATAAGAATAACTCAGGTTTAGAATTTTTTTTCTCAGGTGCCAAGGTTTTTTGAATGGATGTAGGGAATTTTCAGGGTGCTGAATTAAAAAAATCCCATTACTTTTGCTTAATTGGTTCTAGTTTTTGAGATAATGGACATCCATGAAAATAATGCATTCCCCAATGCGACTTGTGTGTGATAACAAATGCAATAGCTTTTGGTCTGTATTTTGACTCTTTAACAGTGTCTTAGGTAATGAAATATCCCATATATTTTGTATTTCAATTTGTAGGCCTACAATGGTATAAAATCGACTTTTTGAAGCCAGAATTCAAATTTGCAGAGGAAAGAACTCAGCTACAGTATAAGTTTGTCAACCAAGTTTGTCTTGGTTTGTACCCAAAAAGTTCTGTCTTAATAAGTGTATAAATACATGTAAACATTATGACTTGATGGTACTTCATATTCGTAAACTCATGAACGATTCCAATTTTAACAAATGCATGAATGACACTGAGGCTTCGGCCTAGAAGAGTTTTGTCTTTGTTGTTTAGAACTACTTGGGTAATCACAGAGCAGACAATTATGAAGAACTTCAAAAATTTGGGAGTTAATATAGGCATAAAGATGCACCATAGCTCCATATATGGCTCCATAGCCATTTAAACTGATTTTCAGATAACCTTGGAAAGTACAGCGAGGAACAAGACGAGAGGTTCCACCAGGATATGAAGGTGATGGAGGAGAGATATCAAGGCAGATGGGACATACACATGATGGCAGACTACTGTTGGAGTCTCCAACGTGATTGTCCTGATGACACACATAAAAGGAAATCGCATGAAGAGCATTTTTTGAAGCATTGGCATTAATAATAATAACTAATATTGTATTAATTAATCAAATCATGCATAACTTTTTCCTGTCACTGTTAGATATTTTTAATTTCCCTGATGTTAGACTGTTTACTTACTAGTTGTAAGTAAAATAAAAATATTCTTGCAATTCTGAATGCTTTTCAAACGTGTTGCGTTAATTAATTAATTAACTAACTATTAAATGTCTCAGAAACTAGAGCCAATCTGACAAAACCAAAATCATATTCTTAATGAGCACCATAAACTTAATATAAAACCATTCAGATATCGTTGGCACAAAAAACCCCTGTACAGTATATCAGTGTAATCTTTGAGGATCTGTATTTTACATTTTTTCTCTCAAAGGGCTGTTATCATGAACATTTTGCTTTTCAGGTAAAGACTCCAACAGCAGGACTGTGGTACAGCAGCCTTTGTCTGACACAGTGCAGCCAGGAGACTCTGTGACCCTGCAGTGTACAATAGAGACTGAGAGCTGTGCAGGAGAACACAGTGTTTACTGGTTCAGACATGGATCAGGAGAATCCCTTCCAGGAGTCATTTACAGCCACGGAAACAGGAGTGATGAGTGTGAGAAGAGCCCTGAGGCTGGATCTCCTACACAGAGCTGTGTCTACAGCCTCCCCAAGAGGAACCTCAGCCTCTCTGATGCTGGGACTTACTACTGCGCTGTGGCCATGTGTGGGGAGATGCTGTTTGGGAACGGCACACAGCTGGATATAGATGGTAACACCTAGTGTGGAGAGTATATCTACTTCTGTTGTGGTTTTATTGCTATTAAGACATGGACTTATTTATTTTGCTTTTTTAATGTAATGTATTTTTTTATTTAAATGTATGTGCACTTAATTACACAAATGTTAATTTAATAATCACTGGTAAAATTACAACATAATAATTCTTAAAATGCAAAATATCGAAAATATCTGTTAAAAATGGACTCCTAACAAAATACCAACTTTAATTTCTAATAGATTTCATCTTGAACTAATGTAACCTAAGCAAATGGGAAATGTGTTTCTATATCATTATGCTGAAATCTATTTCTTTGTTATAGGCTATCAGAAGCTGCTGGATCCTCTTCACTCTGGCTTGCTGATAGTTTTATCTTGCAGCATTATTCTGAACGTTGCCTTCATTTGTATAAGATGTAAAATGACCTGTACACACTGCGCAGGTACGCTGCCCGGCTTTATGTACTCAGAAAAATATGGAATCAGATTTGTGCCAATATTATCAAGCAAAACTTTTTTGACATCAAGCAAAAACAAGGTTTCGAGAAGAAAAAAATCTAACAGAAGCAAAAGAAATGTTATCTCAAAAGTAAAATTTATAACTTGCAAACACGATTGGTCTTTTGACAATGTTTGATAATATCCCTTATTAAAATCTTACCTAATTTATTTAAATATCTTTAGTATTTTGCAAAATATACTGAAATATACAACACATGTTGCAGTAAGTTGCATATCAATAACATTTATTAGTCTGCCTGGCCCTCCTGTCCCCTCCCCAGTGTGGCCCTAATGAGCCACTCCTGTTGCTTGTTGTCCCCTCGTTAGTCGTTGTATATGCCTGTCACTGTGCCTGTCACTGTGCTCATCTTCCCGGATCTCGGTCTGACCCTGGGCCTTTCCCCTGCTTGTTCCCTGTTCTCCTGTTTGGATCCCTCATGGTCGCGTTTTGTTTTCCCCATAACTGTTAATGTTTTGCCTAATAAAACCCATCTCCACTCACCTTACGCCAGCCCACAAGTTGTTCCTTTCCTTGTCGTGACACTTCAAATCTCTTGAAATCTTCTTTATAGCAATTCTACTATATGTAATATATCATAACAAACAACACATCCAAACATGCACACTGAAATTGACAGAAATCATTTTTACTTTGATTTTGTGACAAAAAGTATTGTAAATTCCCTCCAAATTTAGGAATGTTATCCAACCACTGAACTATATTATGTGAAATTATATATGTTGATATATTATATATTTTAAACAGATCAGAAAAACAGTGATGTATCGAAAGTGGAGTGGTCACGCAAGCAGGTATGTAATAAATATTTCAAACAATCAATAATCAGTAAAAAAAAAAAAACAACAAACTATTTTAAATGCTATTTGTGCAAATAAGCAATAGCAAACTGATTTTTATCCATCCTATTCTGCC